AAAATAGGCCCGAACGCACTATAAAACGCACGAACAACTCAGACCAAGAATCATTAGGATGTGGATCGGCAAGAAAACGCGCCGGGTTTTTTTATGCGAAATTCGCGCGAAACCTCAGTTTCAGTAGGGCGAAGTGGAGAAAATGACACCGTCATAAACGCGACCGTTACCTACTAGTACTAGTAGTAGTAGTAGTAGTAGTAGTTGTTGTTGTTGTAGTAGGAGTGGGAGTGGGAGTGGAAGTATTAGCAGTAGTAGCAGTAGTAGCAGCAGCAGGAGGAGGAGTAGTAGTGGTGGTAGTAGTAGTAGTAGTAGGAGTAGTAGTAGTAGTAGTAGTGGTGCAGTTGCAGTAGCAGTAGTAGTCGCAGTAGCAGTAGCCGTAGGAGTAGTAATAGTAGTAACAGTAGCAGTAGCAGTAGTAGTAGTAGTAGTAGTAATAGGCGTAGAAGTGTTGTTATTTGTCGTGGTGGTAGGCCATCATCGCAGCAGCAGGAGCAGGAGGTGTAACAAATGGCGCTACATTTTCTCGTCTTCCAACAACAACTACCATCCAATACAATGCGTGCTACTGTTGTTGTGCTGCTGTTCCTGTTCCAACTGCGCCGAACACTACTTTTTTGTCTGCTGTCATTTTGTGTACACGCAGCTGGAGCTGGCGCAGTTGTAAGCATCTCAAAAGCTTTGGTTGAATGTAAATCCGGGATTTAGGGATTTCTGTTTATGATGGTAAGCATGTAGATAATCCGTGCTGTTCCCATAAGGGCTCTGTTGCCCCAAAGGAGCCAGGGAACGGATCCCTGTTTACAATTGTACCCTTTCCCCATTACCACGCACAGAGGACTGAATGCCAAGGCACTCTACACCGCTTCGCCATTGCGGGCTGAAGAGGAGGAGGAGGAGCTCTTGCAGGGAAGAAGATATAGTCATAGTAGTCACTATCATGATAGTACAAGCTGTATTAAGTGGCAGCAGCAGTAGCAGCAGCAGGAGAAGGGAGGGACCTCAAGTCTAATTATCTTCCAAGATTTTTGCTTGCTCACTGTCCGGTCCAACTTACGCAGGCGGCCAAGCCGCCGCCATTTGACCCGGCCAAGCAGGCACTGCCTTCAAAGCCGCATGCTGGTGAGCGGTTTTGGCACATTCTTTCGGTGAAAGTAACCACATAAGGACATCTTCCAGGGGTTGTGGGGTTGCAGGTCGGAGCTATGGCGTCGGGGCCTCAACTATCTGTCTATCCATCTATCCTTTCTTTATCATCTTCCCCTTCTCTCTCTCTCTCGCTTGCTCCCTGTGTCTCACTGTCTCTTTGTCCTGCTTCTTTTCTGTTTCTGCTCTGCTTGAAGTCTTCTGCTTGTGGGCGGCCATTGCACGACATAGGCTTGTAGTAGAATCTCCTGGCTTGCGACAAGCACCTTTGCGCAAAGGTTTGTAACACTAGGCCGCGGCGGACAAAAACATAAGAGGGGACGGGTGTGCCCCGCAACTGAAGGTGCTTTGATCCACAGCCAGAATATGATGCTTTGTTTCATTCGCAATAACATGTCAATGGACTGCGTTTGTCGGGTCGTCATAATGATCGTCATCACCATGACCATGACCATATCATCTTCATCATCATTGTCACCGCGGCGGCGGCCATGGTGGTGGCGACGGCGGCGGCAGCGGGGCGGTGGCGGTAAAATTGATGGCGGCGGCGACCTTTCGATGCTGTAAAGGATTAGGGAAAGGCATTGCTGACCTTGGTGACATGGCTACCGCTCAATATAATTGGTCCGGACAAGGGGAACCGCACATCCCGATCCAGACGCTGATCCAGAGATCGAACAAGTCCTCGAATTCGGTTCCAGACCCCTCCATTCCAGACCAACGAATGCAATACGTCAAACTTGAGGTTGCCATGGGTATCCGTTCCATACCCGTTCCAGACCAAGCACAGTATTTAGCACGTACTCACCCCGTATCACTTGTGAACCAGCAAGAGTCAGTCACCGTTGAAGGGTTTCCGGATCAAGTGTGTGATGCAGACTCTTCGGATCAGATAGCATAGGAACGTGCCTGCGGGGCACGTGGCTTCGATCAGTAGCCACATGTATTTGTGTCGACTGAAGGCCTCTCGGCTTCTTCGATCCGGCAGGTGGCGATCTCGGCTGACTCCAGCTGATCTGACAAATGGAATCACATGGACATTTTTCAATACACAGTTCCCACTGCCCATAACAAGGTGCTAGATAGCATACTATCATTGCAAGAACCCCTAAAAGCGGCGCGGAATTTTTGCACGATGCCGCCCAATGTAACTTAGCACACAGCACTGAATCACTAAATCCTAAGCCCCAAAAAGCAACACTTTAAGCCAAAACCTCTAAACCGGAGACTTCGATGCGAGAGAGAGACAGAGCCCCCCAGAGCCCGAATGAAAGAAAGAAAGAGAGAGAGAGAGAGAGCGGAGATCCCATCAGGGGTCTCTCCAGAGCTCAAACGAAAGAAAGAAAGAAAAGAGAGGGAATAAAAGAAAGCTAGACCAAACCTGAAAACCCAACCAGTCTGGACAGGCTTCAGCAAAGTTGGCGACAAGGATGGCTTTCAGAGCCTCCGCGCCCGCTGCCAAGGATATCGGGAGCTTCTTCAACTTGAGTACTTACCTTCGCCGTGGGTCAACTTGAGCCTTTTTGCATATGCATTCGGGTCAGGTTACATCTTCAGACTTTACTGTCTTAGACTTAGATGGTGTACCCATGCCTAGAAATGTTCCAGAGGATGAGCCAAGATCAAGCGCGAGTCAGACAAATGAGTCGCACAAAAGAGAAAGCACGAGTCAGATGAACGAGTCCGACGAAAAAGCGAGTCAAACACATAGAAGAGTACATCCTGTTCTTGGGAGTTCTCACCACAAAGATTACATTGTTCGGGTCTGCACGAAGCCATTGGAGAGTTCAGCAAAAAGAGCTGCCTTGAGAGTAGTGTATATTGTAGTGCGAGATTAAAGATGCAACTTTTGAGAGGTTGATATGGTGCTTTGTTTTTGAGATACTGGGAATCTATCCTTTCTCGCCTTGCAGTTCCAGGAATGCACTGACACAAAACATTTGCAACTTCTCATCAAAACCAGCTACAGTTCCCATAAGTCCTTTGAAAGCAGGGTTCGCATGAATACATCTTTTGAAGGCCCCTGCAAGATCCGAAGAAAAAAAAAAAAAGTATTCCATGCAAGGAGGATACATCATCAGAAGCTCACAAATGCCATGCCGAGGCTTGCGCAACTCTTCTGAAGACCCCACATCGTCCTCGCAAATCTACCTTCCATTCCAC